ATTAACTGTGTACTTTTATTTTAAAGTTCAATGCACACATTGCTTCATGTGCCAAAAAATATGTCAAGAGTTGTACTACATTTGGGGATATGCAAAAGCATAATATATGCATATTGATTTCATAAAGTTTAAATCATGTCATGGAAACAGACCCCCACACACTAGTTCTACTGCCAGCCATAAAATGAAAGAAACTGTGAAGTACAAAGCTGAAACTATTGATATTACTGGGTGGTATTCAGAAATTCTTTGGGAATAAAGCAATATTTGTCAATTGTCTGTGTAATGAAATTTCTAAGCCTTTTAGTGACCCTAAGAGTTTTATGTCTCCTTTGCTCTCCCTCGAGTAGTAATCACAGAAAATGAGGAAAATGAAAGTGAAATCTCTCTAGAGTAATTCCTTAGAAATTCATGGGTTTGACAAGTTGGCTGGTGAAGAATACAGACAGACATGTTAAAAAAAATAGTTAACATTTGTTGAATTTTAGCATATGACAGGCAGTTCCCTATAAATCATATTTTTAAATTGCCAGTGCATTTTAAATAAGTAATCTATTTCCTGTGCTGTGCTATGAAGCACATGTAATTGTGTTTTTCCTATTCATAGACATAGATGTATATTTCTATCCACTTTAACATAAATATGACTACAGGAGTCTTTAACCAAAGAAACTTTATACTGAATTTCAGTAGATAGAAGAATCCTTGTATGCATCTAGAAATAACTTTTTCTGATGAAACAATTAACAATTTAAACTATGAAATAAAAGGAAGATTATCTATTTAATATTGATAGAAAGAAAGATATGGAAATTCTAACCCAAATAAAACCTCAACCTAATTCGAACTCAATTTTTGAAATTAAAGTGTCTGTGTATATATTAAGCTGCACAGTTTGGAAAATTGCCATGAAATTGTCTACTGTTAGCTTAATAAAATTGGTCATTTACCTTGGACTCATACAATGAGAAAAAAAAACAGTTTTGAGGGGTTCAAAGAAAGTACACAATTATTTAACTTAGTGGCATAAAAGAAATTTTACTTTGTTTTAGTTTGTTTTTTAGTGAAAGTTATGTACTTCCAACTAAGAGGGCAGGTACTAGAGAAGAATATGGAGAAGTTAAATTTACTGGAGTTCAATTGTTGTTTTCTTTTGTGTATCCTTGTTCTGGTAAGTCAATTGGCTGCACTGTATAAATTTCCTATTTCATGCAAATGGGTATAATATTTTCAATATTGTTGATAAGCTTTTTGAGAAAGTGATGTATTGTTATTACTTGAGAAATAAATGTATCTAAGCACAAAACATTTCCCTTTATATGTACAAAAAAACCTCAACCATCACAATGACAATTGGATGGAAAATACAAGTGAAAGCCAGAGGATCTAGATTCCAGGGCAGGGGTTTATATTTAAACTCACTCATCAAAAATCCTCCTTTCACATTAATTAAATCATGCTGAGTTCAGCCATATGATCTTTAAAGTAGTATTGTTAGAGTTTTATTTTTCTTGCTTATATAGATGCACCACCAGGAAAATGTTAGCACTGTTTTGGGAGCAGAGACAATAATTTCACCCTGACCTTGGTGATGTTTTCTTCACTTCTCTTTTAGTCAGTGATGAACATTTTCATGCCCATCATCTGATTCAGAAGAAAATATCTTGAGTGAAAGTGGTGGTAAGTACTACAAGTCTAACTATATAGCTGACTATGCTATTAAGATCTCTGTTCCTACCACATTGGGTCATTTCTTCAATCAAAGTAAAGGAGAATTACAAAAACACTCATTAACCCAATTTTATGGTTTTCTCCCTAAAAAATAGGTTGCTCTAAAAGGAGGTCACTTACAAGAAAGGGAGGGTAAATGAAGGAAGTTAAGAATGTGAATATGGTCAATGTACTTCCTATACAAGAATGAGAATAGACTTTTTAAACCTATTGAAATCACCATAAGAAGAGACTAAAGTAGAAAGGGCAAAAATAGAGGAGATGAACAAATTCCGGTTATAATACACATATACATGGAAATGAAACACCTTTTATAGCTATCTTAAACAACCAAAAAAGTCATTTTTAAAAATAAAAACAAAGAATAGAGAGGTTAAACAGGTTCTGTCTGGTGAACTAGGTATCAGTGGGAGGGGAGAGGATATAAGGAATGGGTGTAGGAAGGTGAATGTGGTGGAAATATTCTGTACACATGTATGTAAATGGAAAAAATAGACCTGTTGAAACTATTCCAGGAATGAGGGAAAAGGGGATAAATGTTGGGGTGGTGAATTCAATTATTATATATTGTAAGAAATTTTATAAATGTCACAATGTACCCTCAGTATGACAATAATAAAAATAAAGTATAAAAAATTGTAGCTCTAGATCTGAGCCATTGTTTCATTTTAAAGGGCTGGATTTGTAGGGGAAATTGATGGGATTGAAATATATTTAGTGAAAGAAAATGTACATAAGTGTGCAAACTGTATTTCCTTTGTCCCAACTTATTGTGAGCTACCATTACTAATGGAATTTGTTTTGCTTGTGCGCAAAATCCAATGACTATGTCAGGTGGAAAGAAGCTGGAACCTATTAGTCTGTAACACTGATTCTCATAGCTTAAGGACCTTGGAGATGGGATAAAGATTATTCAAAACAAAATTCCTTACTTAATTCTAATAATACAATGGTACAACTTCAGAACTTTTCATTTTGTACAAGATTAAGGCTACTTCCTAGCAAACTGAGTATAAATTTTAGTAGTCAAAAGCAAAAGTTAATGATTTTTAGAATTTTCTGATGTTTCTTAACATAGAAAGTTTACCAGCCAAGTTGTTTTGTTTAATATTGTGAAGTGTGTTTTGAAATCCCATATTTTCAAGGAAAAATAGTTTGAAGTACCTCATTAGTCATGAATAACATATAGTTACAACTGCTTCTCATTTCACTAAAGATTTTTTCAATAGGCACCCTGAGCTCATCACTAATATTTAAAAATTATTTTAGAAACTTAACATACCCATAATAAAAGTCCAGACTTTACTATTAAAATTAGACCACTTTAGATATGGGTCATGCACATGAATATCATTGTCAAGTTCTAAATAATAAATTATCATAAAATAGAACTGCATATTGAAAGCAAGTGCCATTATCAACAGGGTGTTCCAACATTAAGAAATGTAATGGTGTAACACATAATATTAGATATCCAAACTTCTCCAGTGTTCTTTGTAACAATGAGATATGTTAATTGTCATAACAGAAATGTATAGATAAGTGGGTTATGAGAAACTTCATTCCTGTAAGCTTTCTCAGGTGATAATTAGTACTAACAGTTAGGTTAGCCAAATCTGTACCTAGAGTCAAAGTGATTGTCAAATAGCAGGAGGAAATGCAATGGAATAGAATGGAGTATAAGTTATGATTACTGAAAATATGACTGTTATTGGTCAGTGACAAAACAGGCATGTTTCATTGACCTGAGTGAGCTTACATTCTAGCAGATTACATGGAAAAATAATATAAGCAAGAAAAAGGGGTTGCAAATTAGAAGGGAGATAAAATGAACTCTGTAAATAACAGAGGGTTTAAGAGCAAGAATAGGAAGAAAATGCAGTATTCTATTTAATGGTCATGATGACTGTCATGGAAAAGATGACCAAGAAGAACACCAGAGAGGGAGATAGATTAAAGACATTTGGGAGATGAGTATTCTGATTCAAGAAACAGAGTAAGGTGAGAACTTTCTTTCTGGACTTAAGAAAAATCAAGAGTTCAATGTAGGAGAGACCCAAGATGGTGGTTAGGATAGAGAATCAGAAATCCTAAGCTCTGTGACTCTAGAACCCTCCTTGACACATTGGAGCTACAGTTGGGTAATTCTAATTGCTTCTAGCCAAAATAATAACCACCATCAAATTAGGTGCAGATAAAGTTCAAAGGCTAATCCACAAATCAGCCTGTAATTGCACCTAACAGCTATGAAAATCCCCTATGGCCCAGCCAGAAAGGCATGTCCAGCCCTGGGGAAAAAAAGCTCCCTAGACGTTTTTCATTTTTTTTCTCTTTTACTCTCCCAACAAGCAGAAGACAGCATCAATCACAATCAAACTTTGCAACATCCTGGAATCATAGCCCATGGAAAGCCTCCCTACATTGAACCAAACTGAAAAAAGCAACATCATTTTTCCCTGTACAGGTGAGCATCATGCACCACATGTGACTCACCTACCCACCCTCCCAGGAACACAATCCAGCACAGCTCCCAGGTAGACTGAACCCCTCTCCCTCCAGCAAAACTGAAAAATACAAACAATGAACTGTAATCTAACACTGACAGCATGGGTTGGGGGTGGAACACTGAACCTGCACCAGACAGTGGTGTTGGGGCAGGGAGCTGAACTTTTTGGTGCAAATTCTCAGTGAAATGCATGAAAAGCTCAAAGGCTGAGAGTGGGGGTGGTGGATCCCAGAGTTCATCTCATATGACAGAATGTAGCATTCAAAACATAATGGTCCCCCTTACTGAGGGTGTGCCACCTGGTGAAAGAAACAACAGCTCTGACCACCATGCACAAACAGGCAAACTTACCTCACCTCCCAATTCTGGAAAGGAAGAACCAAATACTACTCACAAGTCAGTTACCTGGTGAGACCACATTGGAGTTCCCACTTATACACTAATACCAGGCTTGGACTCCTAAGGAATAATTCCAGAACTTTTACCAAAGACTGAACTTTTTGTTTTTCCTGTACCTGGTATTTTTTATTATGCTTTTTGTTTTTGTTTTGTGTTTTTCTTCTTCCTGTATTATTAGCTTCACCATCACTATTTTCTTAACCTTATTCTTATCAAAACAGAAAACAGTGGAAGACCACTCCAGCAGACTAGAACAAGAGGAAGAAAGAATTTCAGAGCTCAAAGATAAAATAGAAATTAAAGAAAAAACAGAAGAATTCTTAATCAAACAACTCAAGAGCTGTGAGAGGAATATGTAAGAATCATGGCCATTGAGGAAGGAGAAGAGGTACAAGCAACAGGAGTACATAACATATTCAATAAAATAATAGAAAATTTCCCAAATATTGAGAAAGTTTTTTCCATTCAGGTAAAGGAAGCCTCCGGGACACCAAACAGACTTGACCAAAGTAGAAACTCCCCACAGCATATTATCAATAGAACAACAAGCACAGAGAACAAAGTATATTGAAAGCAGCTTTCCCACCAGATTCCCCGATCCTTTGCTTTCATTCTCAACCGTTGCATTGGACCACCGGCGTGCTCCACCATGTCAGAGTGGCTGTGGACAACAGCTCCAAGATCACCACCAAGGACTTAAAGGAAAAGAAGGAAGTTATGGAGGAGGCAGAAAATGGAAGAGATGCTCCTGCCAACTGGAATGCTAATGAGGAAAATGGAGAGCAGGAGGCTGACAATGAAGTAGATGAAGAAGAGGAAGAAGGCGGGGAAGAAGCAGAGGAGGAGGAAGGTGATGGTGTGGAAGAGGATGGAGATGAAGATGAGGAGACTGAGGCAGCCACAGGCAAATGGGCAACTGAAGATGGTGATGTTGATACCAAGAAGCAGAAGACTGATGAGGATGACTAGATAGCAAAAAAGGAAAAGTTAAACGCAAAAATTCTGCTGTGACCTAGTCAACCCTTCACTTCCTGTCTAACAATCTACATGTGGTCACCTTCAAGTAGAGAGGCTCACCTGCCCACCCACTGTGGGCAGCACCACCCAAGCTCTCCGCCACCCCACCAAAACCACAATGTGAATTTGCAACAGGAGAAGAAAAAATACAAAACTTCCAAGGCCCTGCTTTTTTACTTAAAAGTACTTTAGCAAAGAAAATTTGTCTGTATTTTTTATTTACATTTTATATTTTTGTACATATTGTTAGGGGTCAGCTATTTTTAATGATCTTGGATGACCAAACCAGCCTTGAGAGCTTTCTCTGTCTTACTACTTTACTTGTGCTGTGACCATGTTCGTTATAATCTCAAAGGAGAAAATAACCTTGTAAAAAAAGCAAAAACAATAACAAAAAATCTTATTCCGAGCATTCCAGTAACTCCTTTTGTGTACATACTTAGCTGTACTATAAGTAGTTGGTTTGTATGACATGGTTAAAAAGTCCAAAATCAGACGACACACCCAAAATGGAGAACTACAGGCTAATCTCCTTAATGAACATCAATGCAAAAATTCTAATAAAATAATGGCAAATTGAATCCAACAACATATCAGAAAGATCATTCACTATGACCAATTCGGCATCATCCCAGAGATGTAAGGATGGTTCAAAACATACAAATCAATAAATGTAATGCAGCATATTAATAGAAGCAAAGACAAAAACCACTTGATCATCTCAATAGGTGCAGAAAAAGCCTTTGATGAGATCCAACACCACTCCATGATAAATGTTCTAAGAAAACAAGGAATAGAAGGAAGTTACCTCAATATTATAAAGGCTATGTATGACAAACTTATAGTCAACATCATACTTACTGGGAAAATACTAAAACCATTTCCCCTAAAGTCAGGAATGAGACAAGTATGCCAACTCTCCCCACTCCTATTCAAAATAGTCCTGGAATTCCTAGCCAGAGCAATAAGGCAAGAAGAAGAAATAAAAGAATACAAATAAGTAAAGAATTAGTCAAAGTATCTCTATTTGCAGATGACATGATCCTATACCTCAAAGATCCAAAAAACTCCATCCAAACACTCCTAGACATCATAAACAGCCTCAGTAAGGTAGCAAGATACAAAATCAACTTATAAAAATCAGTAGTCTTTCTATAAACCAACAATGAATAAATTGAGAAAGAATATAAGAAAACAATTCCACTTACAATAGCCTCAAAAAAAAAATCAAATACCTAGGAATAAACTTAACAAAGGATGCAAATGACCTCTACAAGGAGAACTAGAAAGACTGATAAAAGAAATTGAGGAAGACTACAGAAGGTAGAAAGATCTCCCATGCTCATGGATTGGCACTATCAACACAGTAAAAATAGCTATACTACCAAAAACAATCTACATGTTCAATGCAATTCCCATCTAAATCCCCATGACATTCTTCACAGAGATTGAAAATCTACTCTAAAGTTCATTTGGAAACACAGAAGACCGTGAATAGCAAAGGTAATACTCAGCAAAAAGAGCAATGCTGGAGGTATCACAATACTGGACTTCAATCTCTACTACAGAGCCATAGCAATAAAAACAGCCTGTTACTGGCATAAAAACACATATGAAGACCAGTGGAACAGAATAGAGGAACCAAATATGAATCCACACAGCAACACTCGCCTTCTTTTTGACAAAATCTTACGATGCTTACGATGGAGAAAAGAGGCTCTTTTACAAATGTTGTTGGGAGAAGCCGTTATCTACCTGCAGAAAACTGAAACTAGATCCATGCCTGTCTCCCTGTACTAGTATCAACTCAAATTGGATTAAGGACCTTAATATAAGACCCAAAACCTTGCAGATAGTACGTAAAAGAGCAGGGAATACCCTGGAAACAGTAGGTGAAGGTAAGGGCTTCCTCAGTAGAACTCCAGCAGCCCAGCAACTAAGGGAAAGGATGGACAAATGGGAGTACATGAAATTAAAAAGCTTATACCCAGTAAAAGAAATGGTTTCTAAATTGAAGACACCACTCACAGAGTGGGAGAAAATCTTTGCTAGCTATACATCAGACAAAGGACTGATAACCAGAATATAAATGGAGCTCAAAAAACTAAACTCCCCAACAATCAATGAACCAATAAAGAAGTGGGCAACTGAACTAAACAGAATGCTTTCAAAGGAAGAAATCCAAATGGCCAAAAACACATGAAAAAATGTTCACCATTCCTGGCCATTAAGGAAATGCAAGTCAAAACCACACTAAGATTCCACTTCACTTCTGTTTAGAATAGCTAGCATCAAGAACACTACCAACAACAAATGTTGGTGAGGATGCAGGCAAAAACTGCATCCTCATACACTGGTGGTGGGAATGTAAGCTAGTACAACCACTATGGAAAACAAAATGGAGGCTTCTTAAAAAACTAAACATAGATCGGGGGGGTGGGGAAAGAGGAGGGAGGTGGCCCAAACAATGTATACACATGTAAGCAAATATAAAAATGACAAAATAAACAACAACAAAGAGAATTTAATGTAAGTGGAATTAGGTAAAAGATATAAGCAAAATGATAAGAGAAGGGAATCAGTTTAATTGGACTTTAATGACCTCTGGGTAAAATATTGAGCCATCAAGTTTGTTAAGTAGAAGAGTGACAGTATCTGGCTTACATTTCAAATTGGCTGTCAGAGAGCATAGATTATGTCAGAGAGCATGGATTGAAAGATATAATTCACTTACTAAATAACTGTTGTAATCTAGCAGATATACTATGATGGACCAGATCAGTGTTGCAGCACCAACACCTTTTCCTTACTTATTATGAGAGTTGTACATGTATTTTGAAGATGGAGATGCCACTCTTTTCTCACTTATAGATAGGTGGTATGAGAGAAATAAAAAAATCAAGTAAGATATTGGTATTTTAATTTTAAAATTATAACTACTCATTGCCATTGCCTGAGGTGTTGAAATCATCAGAGAAATAGAACATTATTGTATGTTTTAAGTTTTAAAGGTCTATTAGACATTCAAGTGGAGATATCAAGTAGCTCTGGCTCATATTAGCCTTGGGTTTGGATAGAGATCTGGGTTATAGTAATAAATTTTGGAATTGTGAACATATGGATGCTAGTTTAGAGACATGGAACTCACTAAGAGCTTTTAGTGAGCAACGCTGGACCAATAGCTGATGCCCCATAGCATTCTGGCCTTAACACATTTCTTACTTAGGGGAGTTAGGAAGCCAGTTCCTGGATAAGTGATATGGAGTCACATGGAAAAAATGACACAAGCTAATTTAAAGAATTTGACACATCTTTAAATTAAATAGACATAATTTATTAATGTTATACCTCTACTCGCTATTTCTTAGCACCCTTTATGAACATTTATTGGTTTTATTATCAATTCCTTTTCTATGTGCCTTCAGCACTGAGTGGGGAAGAGTAATAGTAGTGAGGAACCAGGTCAACTAAAGTGGTAATAAAAAGCTTATGTTCTTTATTTTTTGTTCAACTGTGATAGAAATAGGGGGAAGGACAGAGATCTCTAAAAGAGCTATAATATGTAAGTTGTTTAAGAAAAATTGGAAGAAGTCTGTTAATACAAATATGTATTAATTTGTGCTCTGTCGTACTTTTTGGCATGAAATACCAAAGGAAATTTTCTATATATCAATTTATTGTTTTTGATGGAAAAATGTTTATATTCATCATATATTTCTCATAGACATGAAAATGAAACATTATTTTTCCTAATTTAGCATGAATACTCTTCATGGGGTAGTCATGAAGTTTTTGAAACATTGAAATACCATTTAATAAAAATGTAATTCATCTTGCCTAATGTCATTGAAACTGTCATTTGTAAGGGCCATCATTAATTACTCAACTGGCAGAAGTAATTATTTTTAAATATTGTCCTTTTGGAAGCTCAGCAAAAAGAAAGCAAAAATTGCCTCTGCAGAATAAGCAACTGGAAGGTTTCTTTGTAGTCAGCACTTAAAGGTGACTTCTGATCTGTTGTTAAGATACTCTCCTCTGGAAAAAAGAGCATATGGCACTTTCCCCTCACCCTTTGCTTACTTTACAATTCATTCATAGAAAAATTAGAGACTCAACAGCAGCATAATTTCATCCTTGATGCTTGCTCTTTTTTTTTTCTAAGAACTACATCAAAAATGACACTAGTGCAATGGGATTTTACTTTCCCCTTACAGAGCAAAGATGTTGCTGATTATACAGATCTTAAAATGAAAATACCAGATAACAAATTTAAAGGATCCCAGACTTTAAAAAGCAAGCATACATGTTGTAAATTGAAATGCCTTAGAATATGCTTCAGGATATGAAAGTCCTCAATTCCCTTGTTGGCCTGAGTTTCAATTTATAGCTAATTTTCTTTTCTTTTTCTCAACAGTACTTGACTTGTAAATAGGATATACTTGCAAATGAAAGCTATGAAGTCACTGTCACACTGCTCCAGCAATCTCAGTTCAGATTAACTGTCTATTAATCAACCTGCCTTGGTACCTTGGCTTACATAGCTTTAGAAGTACAGAGAATTTAAAAAAAAATACTGGCATCAATACTCTGAATAGATGGGAGAAAACTGGACAGTTTCTGAGTGGTTATTTCCAAGTCTTTGTGATTAAAATACTTTAAGTGTTATTTTGGATCATATTATAATTAAATACTCCCAAGTGAGTTTAGAGATACACTGGTTACAACATTGAACTTGTTAAATAATGAAAAAATGAGGATTATGAACTTAATATGTATGTTCACATCAAAAGCCATGCTTCACATGGTAAGAACCAATGGGAGAATTGAGACATGTCTTAGACCTAGACAGTGTCAGTTTTCCAAAGTCAAGGAACCTGTGATGAAGAAGTCAGCACAGCATTCACATTTTGAGTAGTAATATAATTTGAGCATCAAATATAGTTCATAGCATT